TATTCTGTTTATATTATGAAACTAGGTGATTCTCCCGCGTACACGCGGGTAAATTATTTTATATGTTTTTTTTAATTTTAGTCTTTAAAAATGTGAAATATGTAGTTGTTTGACTTTATTATAGACATTGTTGTTGATTCTTTGGTTGTTAATTTTTTGATCAATAATATCGTTTTTATTAATAATATGAATTTCAGAAATTTAGTTTTACCATTTAATTATTTTATATCTGTAAATGTGTCAAGTCAAAATGTATAATAATTTAATACATTATAATTAAATAAAATGTTAAATTTGGTTTGTCCGAATATCTTAAGTAGTAATTAGAATACAAATAAATTACTTATCATTTTAAAACATTAAAATATATAATCATAAATTTTATAAATCAAACACAAATTAAAAAAAAATTGCTGCTTTCAAATTAAAAATTGTTTTTACTACTTTCAAATTGTCTTGCGTTAAAAAAAATATTTCAAAAGAAAAATTATATTTTTTGTTATAAACTTGGGAAGTTATTTTATATATGTGCACCTGTCAAATCAAAAAGTATAATAACTCATTAGAGTTATAAAAAAAACATGTTAACTTTGGATTATCCAAATACCTTAAGTAGAATTTTAGAATACAAATAAATTATTTAATATTTTAAAACACTAAAATATATAATCATCATAAATATTATAAATAAAACGCAGATTAAAAAGAATTGTTGCTTTCAAATAAAAAATGTTTTTATTACTTTCAAATTGTCTTGCTTCAAAAATTTTCAAAAGAATAACTACATTTTTTGTTATAAACTTGGAAATTTTTTTTCAGAGACATATCAAAGTCTCTTTCAAAAATTTGATAAGTCTTTATTATTATCTTCAAAAGAATATATATTCTATAAAAATATTGGGGCAATTACAAAAATGCCACTTTTGTATGCATATTTGAAAAAATGTCATTTAGGGGTGTCCATTTACAAAAATGCCACTAATTATAGATTTATAAAGCCTATATCTTAATATTCTAAACCCTAAAAAATGTTTTGACACCTAAAACCCCCTAAACACTCAAAACTAAACAATAATAGAATATAATTAACCCAAACATAAATAATATAAAGAAAAAATAATTTTGAAAAAGTGGTATTTTTGTAAAGATTTCAAAAGTGTGGCATTTTTGTAAAGTGGCACTTGAAAAGTGGCATTTTTTGAAATTTCTCAAAAATATTCTATAATTTTACTTTTACAATAATCAATTTCTAAATAATTTTTTAATGAGAAACCAAATTTGTATATAACTTTAGAATAAAATTAAAAATCTGATAATATATTGATTAAAAACTCTTTTGATTTATTTATGGTAACAAATATAAATTTAATTGTACAAAATTTTGTTATTAATTCAAAATTGTCATGTCACAATTTTGTTAGCTATATCATAAACATTTTCTCACAAATCACGTCTGTGGGGATAAATAATTGAAATCGTTAAGATTATCTCTACAAAATATACGATGTATTTTACTACATTTCCATATAAATATTTCTGAGAATTTATTATCTTCAATTCCAATTTCTATGGAAATGTATTTAAAATATATTCGAAGGTAGTAAAGTCTCGGAAATATTTCTATGTTAATGTATTAAAATAAATCGTAAATTTTTTGGAGAAACTCTTAACGATTTTTCTAGTTTTCTAATTATAAAAATGGTACTAAGTTTTTGGATGTTCTTAACGTCAATCAATTAATCAGAATATGGTAATTCTTATTTAATTAGAATATTTCCACAATATTGTTCTTGTGTAGATTCTACTGAAGATTTTCATACTTGTGTAGATTTTACTAAAGATTTTTATACTTTTAAATTTAGAGTAGATGATACATAAATTCGGACCATAATATGTCCATTATTAATTAGATATCGAAAATGTTAATTATTTAAAGCTTTCAATATTTCCAATTATCAAAGATTTTCATATTTGAAAATTAGAATTGATGATACATAAATTTCAGAGCAGCCAAATTTCACACTTTTAAATTTATAGTTGCTCATAGATTTTATTTTTTAGATATTCTTAAATTTCGGATAGAAAAATTTGTGGAGATAACGATTTCCATAATCTTGTAAACGTCAGATTAGTTTTGTGTAAATTTTACTTAAGATTGTCATACTTTTAACTTTAGAGTTGATGATACATAAATTTACATTTGGACCGAAACAAAATGTAATCGATTTATTTAATTGATTTTTTCGGTTGAATCGACTTTTTTGGAAATAAAGTAAGATCCATTAAAATCCAAAACGAAATTATTTTTAAAAGTAGCAATAACTAAAATCCCTAATAAAATAATCGAAAGAAAGCATCTAAAAATAATATTATATTCCATGAAATTATTTTTTTATAATCACTTCTTAACCTCATCAATGGAACCATCATTCTTATCTTTATTTTGAGTTTGGGC